CCACTGCCTTAGCCGTTCTTCGCTCGATGCCTCGTCATTGCAGCTCAGTCTTCCTTGTAGTCATCATGTCTGTAGAGCTCGGTGCCCTGGGAGAGTCGGAACACTACAAAACTTGAGTTGAGTTTGTGTCTTCCTGCACCTTTGCTGGAGGCTTGAGGTGTGTATGTCAGGTGCCATGTTCATCACTTTTTAAAAACTTCATTTTTAGATCTGGCTTGTCATCTAAATTTCAGGAACACATTCCAATACAGGAAGGCCACTGATTATGACATGGAGATGCTGTGTCCTTTTCCTCATAGCTATTAAAGCAGTGCTTCTAGAGTGCAAGGTTGGGAATCCCCCTAGTTAGCATACTGGCACCTACTTTCTAGTATGGTTTTTTAATGCCTCCTTGATTTTTTTCCCTTGGTGAGATGACACAGTATATAGATAAAAATCAGATCAAAAAAGCAGGATGCAGCTAGATTGATTGATATTAATTGCCATAGAAAGGGTAGAAAAATGGAAAAGCAGATAAGAATAGTAATGCCTTTCAAAAACATGAGCAGTTACTGGCTTTTTTTTTGCACTTAAGTAAGTGTATGATTGGAGTGCTGTGTATGATGGCTTAGTAGTTACAGCCTTGGATAATGTATGTGAATCTGTATTGCAAAATGAAGGCTAGAACAGTTAGTTTGGAATTAATTTAGTCTTTTAATGAAAAAGAGTACTATTTTCTTTTTCCTGTTCTCAAACATGCACAATAAATTCATTTATAACTTTCCAAGTAATTTCTGCTACATGTATTGTACTTTAACTTTTTTAAATAACAAAAACAAGAATAAAAATGGTTTTCTTTCAGTCCTCTTTGTCCTGTATTAGTACACTCTGTCTTCCCCTTGCTTCTTCCTTAAACTCTGTAGGAAGAGTCACTAAGAATAGCCCGAGTAATAGACTTCTATTCAGGCAGACGGCTGAGTCATGGAAATAGACATTCTATACCGGCAGGGGGCTGAGGCTGAGGCAGGAGTAACGGACATTCTATGCAGGCAGATTGCTGAGTCATTCAGTACTGTTAAGAAGGGAGGGAATATGGAGAACAGCAAAGTCATTATTCTTTGGAAAAAATAAGGATTTCTAATCCTCACAACAGTCTTAGAGTTCATAATCTCACTCAGCTCTGTTTTTATCAGGGTAATATTTTAAAACCATGCTAAATGCTTTCAATCATACTGTAGAAGTCTGTTGAATATCATTCCCAGTGTGACCTATAAACGTAGGTGTCAATGTTGACTTTTCACGCTTATGTACGCCAATGTCCCAGCTGCCCCACAATTGTTTCTCCTCCTATGGAATAGTCACCCCATAAGAGATATGATGGGACTGTTGAATCCTTAACAATAAAGTTAATTTGTTGGCCTTTCCATAAGAAGATGAGACTTGAGCATTGCTGCAGATTTCCAACCCCCATTTTTCCTTTCTCTATTATTCCAAAATACTTACACCATAGCCCAGTGCCAGGTCTAGAGTTAAGTGTTCAGAATAACTTATTGGCACAGCACAGCCCAACACACTACCTCAGTGTAGTGTTGGTCTGGCTTCTGAAGGTGAAGGCAGGATATTTATTGAGATCCACACCCGGGAATCCAGTAGCAAATGGTCAGCTCTGTCTAATACACACAGAAGCAACAGTACAGACTCTGAACCAGCTGTCATGACATATTTAGAAATACATGTATGTAACAACAGTTAAAGAAAAAGAGGAGGGTCCATGAGAACGGTTAGAGGGAGGAAAAGGAAGGAGGAAATGATGTAGTGGCATTTGAATTTCAAAAACTGAAATAAAAAAACTAAACAGCAATAACAAAAAAACAACCTACAAGATCTTAATAAGAAAACTAAGGACCTTTAAAAGAAGATTATTAAAAAAAAAAAAAAAAAGAAAACCAGGCTTTAAGGGGTTAGAGAGACAGCTCTTTGCTTAAGAGCACTGGCTGCTCTGCTAGAGGATTCAGGCTCGGTTTCCAGCACCCACTTGGCTGCTCATAACTGGCTGTAACTCAGGTTCTGAGAGGAAGGATTCAGTGCTCTTTTCTGGCCTCCAGGGGCACAAGGCCTACAGCTGGTGTGTGGACATACACAAAGGCAAACCACTCATGCACGTAAGATAAAAGAATAAATAAAACAAAAATTTTAAATGCTCTATAAAAATGAGGCCTTAATGTAGGCCTTTTAATGCCCAACTAAAATCAGTTCCTTTGTGTTTTAGTAGATCAGATGGTTAGACAAAGGGAAGCAAGGTTTTCAACGTTTGTTTTGGACTATTATGTTAAACTTAGATGTTTTGTTTTGTTTTGTTTTGTTTTCTGGAATCAGAACAAACTCATTTCCCCATTAATTGAGGTTTCAGGTATTAATATCAAAGATCCCCTGAATGCAGTGACATTTCTCTCTATTTAGGACTAAAGGTGATCTGTTCCATTTGTCCCTGGAGCTGCCCCTCCCAGGACCCTCTGTGCTTCTGAGGGCGACTGTGTGAGCCCTTGGCCCCGCCCTGCAGACATTACAGGTCCCTCTTTCCTCTCTGGTTGGTGAATGCTGCTAGCTGGATCTCACAGAGTATCCGTTGCCAGATATTTTCCTTCTTGTTAGAAGGGCCATATCTTAGTAGTTTCTAATAGGCCTTTTTACTAAAGAAATTCATGCCTAGATAATCAATTGGTATGACAAATATGTTTTCTTTCTATCTATTGTAATGTTAGAAGTTTGCTATGAAAAACATCTTACAATATTTTTAAAAATTAAAAACAGTAATTTTCTCTTGATGTTAAATTTGGAACAACAAAAATATTGTGAGTAATCTATTTTTTTGAAGTCCTAGAAAGGGTTCAAAAGTGGTTATTGAGATTATGTAAATTTAGATCTTTTGTGAATACTTTTTATAACTATCAAGAAATGGCAGTTAACAATTTTGAAAACTTGGAAGACTTCTGCTAAAATTGATTTCATAAAAGAAGATAAATACAGAACATTATAATTTTGTAAAAAAAATTAGTATGTCCCTCCCTAAAAATAAATTAAGTTTGTACTTTAATTTCAAAACAATTATATCTTGAAAGGCGTGTGTCTACTCCGCCTGTGGCATGGGAGACAGTGAGACTGTAGTCTGAGTCAAGTAGATGCATGCCTGCAGCTGGGTGCCAGCTGGGCCAGACAGCCCTCAGGTAGACCCAGGAGGAGTCTGGGGGTAAGAGAGTAGAGAGAGGGCCTTCAGGCCAGCTCTGATGTTTGTTTCTGGAGAGAGAAGGGAACAGCTCCGTATCCTGTGGGAAACAGGGTCCTAGAATGAAACCTGGCATTTCCTCCTTTCCTTTCCTCCTCAACTGTGGGAAAGTCAGAGAGAGGTCGCTTAAGAGATGATTCTAGAGGTTTGCCAACTCACACAGCCCATTGCTCATGGGGGATACTGCTCTGCTGTCCTGTTTCCTGTAGACGTATACCTTGACCATGGAAAGATCCATAAAGCCGCCTCACCTTCATGGCTCAGGGTTTTTAGGGTGGCCCAAGAATGAAGGAGGACACTGTACTGGAAATGAAGCTGTTTTTCATGTGTGGTGGAAGAGTGCATGAAGTCTGGAATGTCCTGCCTCAGCCTCTAGGGCTTTGGCCACCCTGCTAGCCCTCCCTCCACCGCGCCAGCCCACCTCC